TCGGTAGGTCGGTAGGTTGGTAGGTCGGTAGGTAGGTAGGTAGGTAGGTAGGTAGGTAGGTACATAGATAAATGTTCTCTATCAAACATGATTAGTATCGGAGTTCGACATGCCACGTAGTTCTGGGTGCAGGGCTTGGTTTCGAGCAGTTTAGTTCTGGCTCGACAGGGTTCGGGACGCACAGGTTCCCATGAGAGCTGAAGGTGCAGCATCTCTTCCAGGGTTGTTTAGAAGCAGGTCTTCAATGGAAGCCGTGTGCTTTTGAACAAGCTCAACCGTTTTTCCGATGACTTCGGTAACCTTCAAACCTTTAAACCCTTACTCTAAACCCTTGAACTCAGTGCAAGGGTGGCAAAGCCCTGAACCGTCATTTCCGCAAACCCTGGAGGTCCGAACTCTGAACCCTAAGCCGTGGACGGACATGTTGTGAAGGACGAGCTGCTGCAAGGACAGCGATCGGACGACTTGGGGAAGCTTTGCGAGAATTGCTTAGGTTCGCGATGTTTCTGCCTAAGATAGAGGGGCCCCATGCGTATCCCACCACTGGGTTTTCAGAGCATTTCAAGCAAGAGCGCTTCCGAAGAGTGCAGAGAGTACAGAATCTGGCCGGTTTGGGGGTATATTATACTATAGNNATAGTTCTAATAAGGAACCCCCAAAAATACCCAAAATAGCATAGGATAGTATAGGTAACTATTGAGGCCCCTATAGTGCGACCAGCTCCCAGAGCTTTTGGCTGCTGGACTTCTGCAGCGAGTGAGCCGGCCAAGGAATCCGCTGAATGGCGCCAACGATCTTGAGCTCGTTCCAGGCCGGTTTAGGGTTTAGGGTTTGTATTTATTAAGGTCCAGGAGCAGAAGACTGAGCCAGTGAGAAAAGCTGCGCAGTTCGTGGTTGAGAAAGATGTAACAGGCACTTCTGAGTATAGACCCGTATCCGTGAGGCCTTGAAGAGTAGGATCCCGACTACAATCGCCATTCATTAATCATGAGTCTACATTACGACCCAAGCACCCCGATACCTGGGTTGGCTTCCTTTTCTTGACAAAGGCTGTCTTTCTTCGTCAGAGCTTTATGAACGTTTTTCGATTTTCGAACCGCGCTTTTTGCAGAATGGTCGATCATATCTTTTCCGCTGTTCGCTGCCTGCAAATCGCTGGACCCTTCGAGCCCGAGCTGTTAAAACTCACAGGACAAGCGGAGCATGGCTGTAGCTGTAGCGATCGTGAAGATGCCGCCTGTGTTTTGTGACGTTCCTAGAGATTCGCATTTTGGGATCTCGGCTCGCCCCATGGGCAGGAGTCTTGGGCACATCTGGAAAAGAGTGGTGCCCGGACGATGCGTGCAATCCGGGATTCAGCCTGGTGCCTGGGCTGAGCAAATGAGCAGCTACTTACGGCTTCAAAGCAAGGCCCCATATCCTCAGACGGCCACACAGCCAAAAAAAAAAGCACCACTGGCCCCAGACCCGACACCTCGGAACGGCAAATTCTCAGCGGTGGCAGCATCGGAGGTTCAGGGAGTCCCTAGGTGTACGTACTAGAAAGTACAGGCGGAACATCAGTTGCAGTGTTCCGAACAGGCACAGGTCTCCAAAGGCCTGCGAAGGTCCCTGCTGCAAACGGGTTCAGTCTACTTCCGCAAGCTGCGCTAGTTGCTGCTTCATGGCTTCATGGCTGCTTCAGGATTCGACCCATAGGCGTGCTCAAGGTCCGTACGCTTTCAAGGTGTTATGCATACTGATCGCTTTCATTTATAGCCGACCTAGTAAGTCCACTGCTCCTTCAAGCATTTGGGTCTTCACCAACGTAGAATGCCGCAAAATTGAGGTGCAATTCCGACGGAAGTTTATGACGGAAGACGTCTCTGATATCGTTCTACCCGCATCTTGGCCTGAATTCTGACGCACTGAGGCTTTGAGCCACACCCAGAACCTTTGATCTGCTCCACAAATCATATTGCCGTTGGGAAACCAGGCGCCTGGCATTTAGGACGGTGTATCGGATGCTGGACTTTACTATCTTTTGGTTGCACATATGCTTCTACATATACGAGCTACTCGTAGCACGTAAACGTAGAGAGAGAGAGAGATGTGTGTGAAGAGATGTCACACAGCTTGCATAGGACAGACGTACTGCGTAAATTGATGCTGTTCTTGGAAAGCTGGCCATGCCAATGTAGCAAACCCGACACAAGATGAGGGCTCTGGTTTGTCGGTGCTGTCGCTTTGTTAAGCCTTCATCGGGTTTGGCTGGATTTTGTTACGCTTCCTGGGTTGAATAACGCATTCTGGAGCGGGCTGGTTGCAAAAGACGCCAGACACCAGCTGCAAGAAAGCCCAAGCAAGTTAGCCACCCCCCGAGAGCGCCAGGTCAAGGCCTCCAAGATCGGTATCATCTTCTCTTTCGCCAAGACCGATCCTTTCGAGAGCTACTTGGAGCAGCATCTGCCGACCTCCACCGGATATATTGACATTCCCTGGAATTTGGTCTGCGACCCGGGCTTCTACTTCGACATCACGGTCACGGAGCCTCGGTCGGCAGCCTTATGCTTGCGGTGGTTCTGGATGAGGTTTTTTTCAGGTATGAAGCGGTTCTAAGACAATGGCAAGCTGAGACGACGTGGGGGAAGCCATGCTTGGTCAAGGGTTCCAGGACCATCACGAGCTTTTTAAAGTCGTTATAGGCATCTTCCACTGATAGCGCCTAGAGCTATCCCAACTTGCACACGGCAGCAGCAGAAAAGGAAACGGAAAGCTGCATACAAGCCATTACCGGAGATGAGAAGCCAGTTGGTTTCATGTTGCACAGGCCACGCCTGAAAACTCAACCCAATTTGGGATTAGTTTTTTCCGTAGTTATATAGAAGCACACATGCACACACACACACACACTCACACATGTGTATATATATATATATATGCGTGTGTGCGTGTGCGTATACTGGCACGCGCAGTTTAACGGTTGCTGCTGTTGCTTTTCGGGGATGTTGAAAGCGTCTCCTACCCCCTTGCCTCGAGGAGTGCAAGCCTTGTGAGAAGGGCTTCTTCCGACCTGCCACTCAGCCAATGGGAGAACGTTTTCGATTCTTTTATTCGCACATATTTGGTGTAAACTCTTCGAGCTCTCACTCTTTTACGTATACTGATTTGTTTAGATTTGGTTCTTGACGAAGAAAGGACAACACCTCGGTGTTTACCTGCCTCCGGGCGCCGCCGGGGACCTTCCAGAGCCTTTCCTACACAAGCGCAATCAGGAGTTCAAGATGTAGGGTAGGAGGGAACAGGGCTTAGGGTGCAGGACACAGGGTTCAATGTCTAGATTTCAGGTTCGGGGTGTAGGGCAGGGTTCAGGGCACGTTCGAGAATCACTCCGCATCCTGGCATCCACAGAAAACATCGGGGTCTGAATGATTGGGAATTACTTCTGTCTCCTCATCGTCCGCTGTATGACCAGAGCATAGTTTACCACAAAATGCCAGACGCTTGACTCCCTAAAGTCGGCCAGGTCGGGGCTACAGTCATCCCCAACCAACCGAGTATAGCATTTCGTTGCAGAAAAGCGTTGAACAGCCAGACGGCCATGAAGAATGAGGTGTGAGCTGGCGAGCTGACATGCACCCACGCGAAACAACGGTTGCTGCTGCTAGTCCGGAGGTGCCAGCAAATTTGCAACATATGGACCACGAGACAAGTTCAAACAGGATCTCGAAGATATCCATTCATGCAGCATGCAGCACACAACACAAATTAAACTGACATCCAGCACAAACTCCTGGCATGTAGTACGGAGCAGCCAGCTCAGAATGCCAATTGAGTTCTTCCAATTACGCCATGGCGATGGGAACGGCATGTATGCACTGACATGCCCAGATGTGAACCACGGGTGCTTCAGCTGTCTATATGACATGCCAGCATCCGGCACAGAATATTCACCCGCCGTGAGGAACATGGAAAATTCAACTGTCCCGAATAGCATGGGGGATCCCAAAAAACGCCCGTGCCTGCAGCATGGAACATGGAAGACACCAAGCAAAAATCCTGCCAGGTAGTATAGGGCATCCCCAGCAGAATCCTCAGCAACAGCATGGATGGATCATTCAGAGCTGAGGAGTTGATTTGGCGTTGTGATTGATGTACCGCATGTGTACAATGTCCACTAGTGTTTTTTGCTGCTCCTGCTGCCGGAATCTGCCCTGCAGCATTCATGCGATGGGCTACGAGTGTATAATTAAACTAGATGTTGCAGGAGCTCCTAACCACCGCGAAGCCAGCCAAGGCGAACTGGAAGCTGTACCTCCTACAAACGCAACACCTTGACCCTAAACTCGAAAGGATTTCGCTGGAGCGCGACCTAGTCAGCTAAGCGGGTGGGAGAAAGCTAATGCGCCGCAATCAAGCAGTTCTAAGAGCCAAAATCCCGAGCATCTGAATCCGGGAGACTCCACAACTCGACAAGCCCAGAAAGCCCTCACGTCCAATCCGAGGAATGAGACAGGGCAGGCAAGCGCCAAGCCGTGTAAGCGGGGCTTCACCACCTTCACTGCGGGAGCCACGCAGGAGTTCGCTTCTTGCCATCTAACAGTCAACAAGTCAATGAGCGGAACGTGAAGAACGAAAGAAGCAGCGAAGTAAAGAAGGGCAGGGCCGCTCTGAGCCTTCGCTACTCCGAGGCTTCTCAGTAGGACCTTTCATACGTAAACTTAGATCCCTTGCAAGACGACCACGGAGCTTCACATTGTGGCTTGCTGCGATGGGGATGTCGGCAGCAGTGGCCCAATGATAGTTCCGTCCTAGGTGTAGTTATCACATGGATATGTGTTTCGAGCCAGCGAGTGCGCACCTGAGTAGACCCTGAAACTTTGTGCCACAAACTCTAGCTCGAAACGGAAGTCGGTTTCAATTCAGTCAGGGAAACGGGTGGCAACCACAACATTTAAGACGAAGCCAAAACCCTAAAATCCCAAGCCCCAAACCAACAGAATCCTGTGAACCCCAAACCCCAGTTAAAAGCCTTCGAAGCTTCCGAGCGCGCCGAATCGAGGCTTGCGTTTGCCCGGGCCCTTCTTTGACAGTGCCCAGCGGGAGGCGCGAACTGCCGATCCGCTTGGCGGGTTTGTGTGAAGGGCGGACAGGATCCGTGTTGGTATCTGGGTGGTTCAGTCGTTTAGACGTTCAGGGGTTTGTACAGATTGGAGGGCTTTGGGTTGCCACGTTTCGACTTGGGATTTCTGATTTCTGGTTCTGGTCTGTAGCGTGTCAAGTTTCGTTCGAAGCCAAGTTGTACGGGAGCTATACGTTGAGGGATGACAGGGTCGGCTGTGCCGGGGGGAGTAGGTTGTGACGGCTTTCCTTGTTTTCCTAGTCAGTTCGTGAGAGGCTGCGTGTTTCAGGCCTCACCAAACTTTTGCCACCTTTCCCTGTTCCTGGGGAGGCGTCCCTCAAACGCCGAAAACCTGAAGCCGGAATCAAAGCTTCAGGTACCACGTTGATATCTGCGGAGGTGCCTGGGCTGTTATTTGAGAGCTCATGACATGAGTTCCATGGTCAGCGTCGCTGCCTGTGATCCAAGAGCTTGGATGGCGTTTTTGCGACGTGTCCTCAAAGTTTTTTCCGAAGCGTGCCGGATTCTCGCTCAGGTACTCCCAGGACAGATGCCCGGGGCAATCTGAGGGCTTGTGCTCAGCTCGGGGATTGCGTCGAATGCCCAGAAGCCACCCGGGCCTCAACCGGCAGATTGGGCTTTGAAGGGTGCATACGGTGGTTTTGCGATTGTGAGTTTCGGAGAGAGCTTGGAGCCATACCGCAAAACTTCGGGGCATTGCAGTTCGACCGGTTCGCCACGTGGCTAGCAGCTGTCGCAAGATGATCAAGATAAGTTTGCAAGAAACGGAACTTGTGCAGCCGGTAGATGCTTTTTCAACGGCCTCTTCAAGTAAAACCATGGTTGCCCGAGGGCATGATCTGCGAGGGCGCCAGAGACGTGGCGAACGCAGGGCTCCAAGACATGAGTCAATGGAAACGATTGCCAGGAGCTGATTCCCACACCTACATTTGGAGCCAGGGCAAGTACAGCACATACCCACGTGTTATATATATATATACAGAGGTTCCTATCATTCAGAGAGGTAGATGGATAGATAAATGGACAAATAGTGTATACTGTATACATGGGGGGTCTCGCTCACTGCAGGCATCGGAGCCAGCTGTGAGAGAACGCATCGCAGCATTTTGCTCTTCGTATGCCTACGCTGACACGGAGGACCGACCAGTCGAGACAAGTGCTTCTGTGTACATAGACACTGAAGGCAGACTCAGAAAGCTCAGTTCTTTCGGAAAGCCGTTGCGACTAGACAAGCTTGCCTTTTCAGCTTGTTCGTGGATACAGCATACGCAAGCAAAACCATGACTACTTTAACTAGCGGAATACATCCGAAGAAGTGACGTGTGTACAAGACAAAGAAGCCCTTGGTTCTTTGGTCCATGCTTGCTGCCGCCAGGCCTGCACCTCCAGAGTGTACTGCGAGGCCAATCTCGAGGACCTGCACATGTCGGTGGGTCGAACCCTAAACCCTAAACCCTCGCGACGGCTGAAGGCTGAGGCTCTACGAAAACCGAAAGGCTTCAACCATAAAGCCTCCAGATCTTAAGCAGTTCGAAGACGGGCATCCTGGGGGGCTTCTAAGGTTAAGATCATTGTCACGAAATGGGGGGACGCTGGTGAGGTTTGGGCTTGGGCTTTGGTCGTTACTTGAGGAGGGTCGAGGCAGCGAAGACTTTCGCTTGTGCTTTAGAACACAAGTGTGTCGGCGTCGGAGTCCATGCTGAAAGATGATGCCCGGACAATGAAATCAGAGGGGCTCTTGCGCTGACGAATCGTCAGCCTCCGACCCTCAAGTCCGGACCGAAGAGTCCAGGCAGCACGAAATTTATGACGTGACGTCGCGAGATGGCAGAGCTTGTCAATCGACGCTTCAGGCAAGGGTTCAGGGTTTTATCGAAGGGCCACGGGCTTTCAGGACGCAGCTTGCGACCACGCGCCGCCGAAGCTGCTTCCAGGCCCAGGATTTCAGACCAAGGAGGTCTGCGGATCCTTCTTGGCTTTTAGTGAGTGCCTGGGGGGTACTGTAAGCGACTGCATGAATCCCGCATTGTCCAGAAGCTCCAGAATCCCATTCGTAGATAGAGTGGGTAGGCATTTGTTAGGCACAAGACCCCTAGGCCCTAGTCTTTCAGCGAACATTCCTTGATGAAGGTGTGGGCTGACCGGGCAACTGGGGTACAACCAAAGCCCGGACCAAGCACCTTCTCTTCTTGTCTGTTCACAGGCTTTTGGTCCAGCCCAGACGACCCATTGTCAGTGTCGCTCGAAGTGCAGATAAGCAGCCGTCGCCGTTCTCTTGAGTAGTGCGAGACAAGCAGTGCTGGGACTTCCCGCGCGATTGCGAGTGCTGTCCTCAGCCAGGGGGTTCGAACATGCGGTTGAATCGAATGATCCGGGTCATTAGCCTCAGCCAGCTCAACAGTCTGTGAACATTGGTATTCCTCGTAGCCCGAATTATTCATGGATGCTAAACCATCGGAACCAAGGTTCACCTGCGCGAGCGAGTTCCATTGTCGTGGTGGCCCGCCGGGTGAGGTCTGCGCAAGTGGGCGTCGGGTGCACCAGCAGAAGTTTAGTGGCGGAGTTCAAGCTGTCTGCGGATATCAGGGTTCAAGTTGTCCGAGTCAGGCTGCAGGATTAAGATGAGAGTTGGATCTGTTCTGCAACCGGCACAGGGTTGATGCACGAATCTTCTCTGCGCAATTGAAGTTCGTTGAAGTCCTGGCCCTGGGAGCCCGATTTTAGCTTCGACATGTTTTTGAGAGTGGAAGCCGAGTCCGACACTCAAAAAGAAGAAGTGCAGAGAACGGGACAAGCTGTTCGTCGAATGACAATTTGTTCCAGGAGGACTGAACTTGACTTTGTCAGTTGGGGTGCCTCGACTGTAGTTCAAACATGCGAAGCATTCGGCGCCTAATCCCCCGCCCCTCGGAGACAAGGTCCGACAACCAAGAAAAGTATGGATAATGGGTGAAACATGTGTGTCTTTCTGAGTATCTACATTGATTCAGACAAAGGCAACAGCATTTTATACATCACCGCGTTTAAGCAGACACGATGCAGCGGCAAAGCGAGACAGAATTGAGAGAGTTCCCTGAACTACTCAGGATGTCGCCTGCGGCCTTTGCAAGGAGAATTACCACGGCGGCGACCAGGGAACCTGCCTGCTCCTTACATCGGCTCTGACAAATTGTCTTTGTTGTGGCAATCCTGTAATTGTGGCTCCTCTAAGCTCCTCCAGACCTGTTGCCTTCGGTTCGTCAGGCAAGTTTCGAAGTCCCCACCCCCGAACGCACAAGGGTGGAGAGCATGAACCTTTGGACGATGGGGACAGGATTGCGATTGCACAGCAGGAACCACCAAAGCCTCACAGCCATTCTCAGGCATCCCATGCGAATCGACAGACATGGTGCCCGGGATTCTCGCCTTGACTGCATGCGTCCTCGTGGCCATTGCTGTGTCCATCAGAATGCAGCTAGGCTGCCGTATACATGTCTTGGGGTGCTGCAGATGCTCGAAATTACCGTCAGCTTGATGAATGAACCTCACGGATGTGTCGTACGACACTGCCTCCTTGGTGTTTCTTTCCTAGATGCAGTAGAATCAGTAGAGCTACCCATCATCGGCCAATCGACCCGAAACCTTCTTCTGACAATTCAGCGGGGATTAGGGGCAAGTGGGTAGACAGTGCAAAATGCTGAGCATCCTCATCACCATTGCTTAACAGACGAACGTCGTCAAGAAACTGTCTGGATGCAGGCACATCTCAACTCAGCTTCCTCCATTGATTCATGCTAGGGGGCCTCGTTGTGTTTTCGCATTGACAAATCAGACCTCACAGCGACTGAAAGCATGCCAGCGTCCAGTGTTAGTACACACCGACGAGGCAGGGACGAGGGAAAGGTGAGTGGCTGTACGTGCTGAGGCCTTTGCAGTTTGCGTGACGAGGTCCCCCCGATGCCCGCAACTTTGAAATCTTGAGTGTACTGTAGAACTGGTAACTAGAAAGTTAGGGCTCGAAGACTTCACCCCTTCATAGAAGTGAGGCGAACACATCTCACGAAGAATTCCAAAGCGGTGCTGTCCTTGGGCATCATCCTCTCTCAAGCGGGAGTGCCTTTGCACGAAGAGTCTTTGCAAGGAGATTCTCTGGTTCTGAGCGGGTTTGTTGGATGGAGTAGCGCCGTTTTTGCTCGCGCGAGCTCAAACCCTGAACCTGAAAAAGACCCTGGTTGCTTCCGTGCATGGAGCCTCAACGACAGCCCGCCCTAAACCCTAAATCTTCCGAGCCTAAAGGGCTGGACAAAAAGGAGAGTGATTCTTTTTCTCTGGTGAATCTCTGTAGAGCTTCAGCACTGGAACTTTGGGGCTTGGAGGGTCTCTGAGAGCTCGAGCTCACATGTGGAGTCTGGCCACGTTACATTCAGGGACTGCGCCTTGTATCGACGAGTTTGTCACTTCACGCTTGACATGATTTGCACAGCCTATGCTCATGCTTGGCTATAGCTCAACAGGGGCGCAAGCCCACCCAAAACGAAGCACCCAGCTCGATGATTGGCAACCTACTCATAGATCCTTCTCGGTCGGGGGCCAGGTGCCTTCAACAAGACCATGGTTGCCATTAGGAGTTTAGACATCTGAGGAGCCGCCTGCAAGATTTTGCTTCTATGTAGACAGAGTGCACCATAGCTTCAAGGATTAGATTCAGCGCGTCTTCTTTTTCAACGGACTGTGACCCAGGTCTTGGTACAGACACTTGGAATCCTGTCTGCAGTTGCTACGAATTTGCATCTGCCTGGCACCACATTTCGAGGGCTCCGTCGTCTCGTGGTGTTGCATCTGATGCGCGTTGAGAGCTCATTCACAGGATTTCGACGTCTACGGCTGGGTGGTCAGCGGTTGTCTGTAGAAAGCATTTGCTGCACACAGTCATCTACACACCTTTTAGTCAAGAAGACCCTTGGTCAATCGGCGCCTTGATTGCCATCAAACTAGAGAGAGAGAGAGAGAGAGACTCCCTCTGCCACTTCACAAGATCGCCTAGTACGTGATTTTGTGATTTTGCAGCGGGTTTGTAGTGCTTGCCAGGTTGGTTAACATAGAAAGAAGGCTGCTTCAAGTAGCACCTCCAGCCCGGAACCCAGCCCAAATCCCTACTGTAGGATGCTTTTTGGGTGTCGAACTTGAGGCGTCTTCTCCGACCTGACCATGGTTTGGGAAGAGCCTGTGAAGACCCTTCTGGAGCTGATGCAGCTGGTGAACCTGGACCTCTCCATTTTAAGAATCCAGTGCATGGCGCCTCAGCGGCCAGAAAAGGCTCCCAGTGGCAAAAGGCACCCATCGTAACAATGTAGAATCATCGTGTTTTACCCAAGTTTTCACTGGTGGCTCCCCTCCTTCCTTGGCGGCGTTCCAGGATCTAGGGCCTACCGTTTTGGGCTCAAGAGAAGCTTGGCTTTTGAGGCCGCCAGGGGCTTGTGGAAGCAGGAAGGCCGTTCCGTTCAGGATCAAGTATTGCTGTTCGGAGCCGTCAGCTCGTTGCCGAGGAGGTGCATGTTTCGATAATCATGCTCACAAAACCAGCTTCAGGAAAATCTTACACAAAGCAAAGCTGAAACGGCTCGATGTTGACATTCTAGCAGCCTTACCAGACTGATAGTGACATTGCAGCGATCTTCGAGCTCATGGGTTTCGGAGTTTCGGTAGTTTAGGCGTTTAGGGGTTTGGGGCTTTCGGGGTTTTCTCTCAGGTGGGAAACGAGGACCCCGCGCTCTCCGTGCTGATGACGCTTGGCAAAGCAGGATGCAGGAAGGCGAAAAGTGCAACAAATCGCGCTTCCTGTCCCAAGACTACGCGACCCCCAAACACATACAAAAGTTGCCCAAGGCAGTCGTGCGCTGGCGGGAAATGAAAGCGGAATTGAAAGCGCGCGGTGCAACACTGATATGCAGATATGCAGGTCTCTCATTCTGTCTCCTGTTCCACGACTCAGGATTCTGCTGACGCTGCCGGGGCTCTGCATCCTGGGTGGTCTCATGGGCTGGATGCTGTCGCGCTACAAGGGCGAGTCCTTCAGCTGGCCACGCTATTTGCTTCTTGGCGCACTCGCACTCTCTTCAGGATTTGCCGTTTGTCTCTCAGTGCGAAGCTTTGTTCCTCCTCAAAGCTGGAGATTCCCAGCTGGAAACAGCACAGGAACGTGGTGGGACTCTTGGTGATGTTTGGCTACCTCGCGGTGTGCATGGCCTTGTCTCGCCCGATCCATTGCGTGTCGAACCCCAACGGCACCCAGAGCATGAAATCTTTCCCTGCCCAAGTTTGCTGGACTGCTTCTTGGTCCCTCTTGAGAATCAGTTTTGCATCTTTGAGTATTGAACCCCACATATAGAATCCCAGACTTCCAAAACCCAGGCCCATTTTTAACATCAGCACCCAGGATTCTCACACGCCGGCGGCGATTGAAGCGATTTTCGGATTGACGGTTTTTGGCCTGGGCTTTCTTGCATACATCATGCAGGTCGGGAGCTTGGAGAGAATAAGGACCCCATATCTCCTATATCGTATTATTGTTGTTAATGTTGTCAGAAGTAACACGATTATTGATTATTGTTATTACTCGTTTTTACGACATGAAAGGATTCCAAAGGGTTTCTGTAAAAGAAGGCCGCTTAAAAAGTCATAGACCTGAGTCCCGAATGGGTTTTCAGAAAAAAGGAGCAGGATCCTCATCGTAAGGCCCCGTCTCTTTGAGACCCCCGGCACCACGAGCCGGAAGACCTTGATCTTAGAGACGCACAAAATCGCGGAAGGAACCGGAAGTAGGTCAGCTTGACAATAGCCCGTTATCTCGGATGGCAATGAGAAGCCGTTTATTACTCGAGGTGGTTTGGCGATATCCATCTCTCGTGCACACTGGCCACGGGTTGAAGCTGCTGACACAGTATCACTTCTTGCTCCTCACCTTCACTACACGTCAAAAGGTTTGGCTTGTTTTCGACGAAAGTCGACGTTGTTGTGCTGAGAATGCCTTTTTCTTTTCCCTGTCCGCAAGCATCTAGTTTGATTTAGGGTTTAGAGCTTCCGCCCGAAGCCGCCTTCGGGTTCAGACACTTGAATAGAGCAGGCGTAGTGATATCTGACTGAGATTGTGAAGCTGGCACAGCAACACAGTCAGTGGACTTCCGATGCAAGCGTTTCCTTCTCTAGCTTCGGCTTTCTGTGGGGCTGAGTTGCTGGAGACTCAAGCCTCACGGAAGGGGACGCCATGCTGCGACGGTCATCCTTCAATATCTTCAACACTGGAACAGGAGGAGAACTGAAGGTTCAGCGCGCCGCACGAAAGGAACTCGCAGTTGTGTTCAGCTTGGCCCGGGCACTTAGTGCTGTTGTAGTGAGGCAGGATGTATCGCTGTGCCACTCTCAAATATGTGTTGTTACTGGGCCCTTTCTCACGACAACATCCCTGAGTTTTTGTGATTTAACCAAAGAGCTCCTGAACCTGCCCTTGGCCCGAGACGTCTTGCTTCGACTCCAATTGCCTCGCCGAGGTTCAACCGCTTTGGGAGCCACGCCTACTATTGGGGCCACCTTGCAAGCAGTATCTTGAGTTGCTGAATGATTGGAATGATACATGGGTGGATGGGTGGGTGTGTAACCAAAATGGCATGACGTGCATGGTAATGAAGATACAGAAATGCACATATTCGAACATGTGCAAAGGCTTAGACTTTAAGGTATGTGCGATCTCGCATATTTAAACAGTGTAGGCATATCATAGGCTGACGCGGGTACATAAAGACTCACACACAGGTCAAACAGGCTACCGGTTCAGGCTTTGTTTTGCCCTTTGTTTGGAGGCTCTGCGGGAGGTCTGAACAGGTTTGGGCACCATCATCTTGACGTTTGGGGTCTCGGAGCCACGGTCATTTGAAGGGGTTCTCGGCACCCAGCATGCTAAGCTTTGGTATTGCTCATTGCTGCCAGTCTCATGACTGTCACGGCTACCTGCAAGGCTTGCATCTTTGTACACAAAACACGCTAAAATGTCGGGGGGTGCACTGGCAATGAAGCGCCGGCGCCAGCATCGTTCCTTTTGCCCCAATCGACCTACGAAGTGTCGTTCCACTTCTCAACAATGGCTTTGCACCCAGGTCCCTACTTCATACTGCAAAAGCTACTTGTGGCGATTGTGCCGATCGTTTTTGCAGACAGCGCCATCGTGCAGATCATGCTTCTGTCCCTGCTGATGGCGACCTCGTTCGCAGAATCATAGCGGCCGCAGTCCTCTTCCTGTCCTTGTGCAGAGCGTGATTTGGGGATCTTATGGTTGCAGAGGCTAAGATGATAATTTGTTGCTTTCGATACAGAAGCCGGACCTGCGCGCGTTGCATCTTAAGCACGAGTTTGGCTCCCATCGGGTTTGCGTCAACTCGAGGGCTTGTCGATTGGGGACCCTGTGAGCGTGGGGCTCTTTGCAGCCCCGGGCGTCTGCACAATCCCGGTGCATTTCTGTCATTCGGATGGACGGGGTAAAGTTAAAGCCTTCAGTACTGTGTGCCAGCTCGTCTCCCGGTCGTTGCATGGAGATGACTCATTTTTCTTACCCGACGAGCGGCGGTAGCTTCGAGTATGCAAACCCTGTCTTACTTTGTGCGTCTTTCGGATTTTGGGCTGGGTCACGCGAGGCTTTGTGATGCTGGAGTGGGCCTGAGGTGATATACTTGGCGACCTGCTGCCACGTCAAGCCATGGGCAACAGACCTGGCCAATCTGGCGGACGTCTTCCTGAACATGGGGCTGATGCTTCAAGATGCTGGTTGGGACGCATTTTTGTTCGGTGAGTAGAACACCGATGCCCTCCAAAGCCTCGTTTCGAACCAAGAAGACCCTCCAGACAACCACTACCCGCAAAAATGCCTGCAAACCCTACGAAGCCCAATACACCGAAGCAACGTCTAGGCTGATGCTGCTGATAGCTGCCTTCCTCGCAGATTCTGCCGGCCGAGACAGCAGGACGCTAGGTTTAGCGTTTCTAGCGAGGATCGAAGAGGCTTTGCAAGTCAAAGAAACTTACAACGATGCAACACGATTCTGTGCGTCTTCGTTTCGCTTGAGAGAGAGCTTAGGGAGGAGAGGGAACGGGAGAGGGAGAGAGAGAGAGAGAGAGAGAGAGAGAGCGAGACAGTTTGCAAGGGTTGAGCCTATAGAGTATGGCTTGAGGTTTAGGCTTGAGGGTATGGTTTCTCAGATAGGGCTTAGGTACTGCTGAGGTTTGGGACATAATGACTTCTAGACGCGAGCATCCATTGCATGATGGCTGTACTATCTATAGATACGCAGTACATACTAGCCGTACATACTCGTACATAGATACATACATACAGACACAGAGACAGACACACGTGGTCTACATAGATACACATGTATATCGGTATATATGCATTACTTAATACTCAGAGTCGACTCCCGCCGATGCAGCACTCTTGCTTTGGTCAGGAGCAGGCTAAGCGTCATCCTCGTCATCATGCTCCTGAAAATCTGCCTTGGCATCGCCTCCTTGGCAGGCTACGCAGTGTACAAGAAGCTCTTCCCAGGCGCCTTGCCGAAAATACGGATACCGAAAGATGAGCCAATGTCCAATGTCAGGCCCTAGCCAAACCCTAACTTTGTGAAACTGCCAGCCGAGCCTATGAACTCCAGAGACTGAGGCATGCTGAGACTACTAAACCCATGCCCAGGGCTCCTGCATGGCCCGAGCATGGCACTGCTGAAACTTTGCATTGTCACGCTGGCAGTCCTAAGGTTTTGCTATGTTTCAGAACAGAATCCAGATTCTAAGAGAGCGGTGCTGGTGCGGGACTTACGGTGGCGGTTTAGGCTGTGGGGCCGCTGATATACAGGGCCTCAGGTTGAGTGTTGCATTGTACTCATTTCTGCGAGGTTACAGCACACATCTTCAGCTGCAACTCCTTGGTGCATGAACAGAAGTAACGTTATACAAAGGCCGGAAGCTTGAACCCAAGAAAGTACCAGACCGGACCACTCGCTGGCTTTACGAATGCTCAGGAAAGTTCGAAATATTCCGCATGGCTTTACACGAATGCTGCAGGCAACCGGAATACTACAGCTTTGTTAAATTCGAATTCGAATTCGAAGTATTCCTCATGGCTATACAACAAAACTGCAGGGAACCCGAAAGAAAGCCAATGGAGATGAATTCAAAGTGTGGCCCGCAAGTTGTACAGCTACGCCTCCCCATTTCCTTAACAGGCAAGCTTCCCCGAGCCTCGCTCAGCCCAGTCCGAAACATTGCCATGGAACCCAAACACCCCTCATAGGAAACCCTTATAAACCGATTGCATAACCTTAAAACCGAAGCCCAGGCAACATGTACGACTATTTCCTGTGCCATCACAAAGCAGGTTGGGAGCCTGCCGAAGGTTTCGAGAACGTCGGGCTTTCGGGATCAGGAACTGCCGTATTGATGTCAAGGTTATTTCGGCCCCCATGTCCTTTTAAATCACTCTAGCTCTGAGGCCCCTGACAGATTTTCAGTTCCAGCTTCAGAGCAGCATCAGAGTGTGGGACCAAGAGAGCCCAAGGGTCACATAAATTTGCATACAGTGTCCGTATACATGCACACATACATATCTAGAGTATATCATTGAGCGACGTGCCTAGCAGTGAGATCTCCCTGGAATATTCGGGCGGAACAACAAGGAATATTCTTTGTTTAAAGGGATTGCTGGTTCGCTCTGCAGTTTCGAGACTGCGGCCGCTAGTGTCGAGGGACGCATTCGACACGGTCGCTTACATGAAGCCCTGACGAATCGAGAAGTCATATTGCACATTACAGGTCAAGCCCTAAAAAGCCAGCTGTTTTTGTATGATTTCCGGATCGCGAGACTCTCCGTACGCTGCACCTTTCCCGATCCTAATCTAGCGGAGCCCAAGCCTGCTAGAGACCGTAAGTCCTTGCGGCCAAAATCCAAAGTACACGAAGTACTTCCGATTTCGAGTTATGGCGCGGATTAAATCATTATTGGAATTAGGTTTGCGCGCCGGCATTGGCACGACATGTTCCAGTGTTTGCTTGAGGTCTGGTGAGGAAGTGGAGGGTTTGGAAGCAGATACACCCCCGCTTGGTGGCTCAAGGCTTCACAGCCCCTCCTAGACGCCCTTGATCCCGATACATTTCATAGCATAACAGGTGCGGGAACACTTTGCCGATGGCTGAAGACTGAGATGCTGAAACAGCCTCTCGTCGCAAAGCTTAGAGCTTGGAGGAAATTTCCAAGCCCAAACTTTGCTGGGTGTTGGGTCGGCTTGGAGTACATATCCGGATAAACCCTCGAACACCGTGTGTGTGGGGGAGGGTGCGACGGCCTCAAGGGTTCTGTAGTGCGCATGGTGTGAATTGGAACAATGCGAGGGAGCCCGTAGCCCAGCATGACTCAATTCGTTGGCATGTGTCGACTGAATTTATGTGCATGTGTATACTGCATGTGCTGAATTGATACGACCGCATGTTGTGCACGCAAAGTTTCTATGTGGGAATTTGTGAATCCTGCATGTTTTGTCATGAATTCACGAATGTGTCATGAATGCATAAGAATTCACGAATGTTGGAATTCGCTCTCTCACAGGCGCGCCACTGTTTCAGGAACACTTTTTGTATCTGTATACCTAGTCCCATGTACTCGAGTTGTTGGAGTAGCACAACGAGCACGACACACGACATCGCCGTCATGTACTATAGACAATAATTAGTGTCCCATCTGAACGTCTTGCCGACTGAACTGCCATGAAGCTGCAGCGAGTTTCTGAAAACAAGCAATGACTGAGTGCGGTCATCAATCGTGTAGGTGATGAGGTGTCTCAGGGCACAGGGGAGAAGGCGCTGGCCATGTTGATTCAGGAAACTTGAACAGGTGCTTCTCCCGCTTTTGAGAAAGTTGAGTAGGTGCCTCCTTCGCTTTTGAAGCCGTCTGAGTCGCTGGTCAGTGTGTGCACATGACTTCGTGTAGTGACTGCCTTTCTGAGCTCCGCTCTCTCGCTGTGCCCCACGCCCCGCCTCTGCCCTCCCCGATGCATGATGCTGGGGTCGCCTGCTTGCTTGCTATGGCTGGAGAGTCACAACACCCGCCCGTGTAAAGTACCTTTGCCCCTGACCTCCGTAACTAATTCTCCAACCCGCGGCCACTGTCAGCAGCCATGGACAAACGCCAGAGGAGCTGCAGACACTGTAGAATGTTACTACAGGCACTGCGGTGAGAAGTCCCGAGCAAACAGTTTACTGAATCTGGACGTGGGCCCTTGGCTGGCTTACCTCGGAGGGACCGACGGAACAAGAGCAACACGTGGCTGGTTGCAGACCTGCATGGCTTGGCTGCAATGGGACTCTGCGCACTTTGTGGCGGCATGGAATGAGGAGAGAAGGATACCAGAATATGGGTGTGTCCTCCTACTGCATGATGTATTCATCTGAATTTACGCCTGAATGCGAATTCGTGGACCTGAATTCGCAGATCACGACGCGTGGTGACTGAATTTGCGACTGCATGCCTCGATGCGTGGGGCCTTGACGACACACCAGAGATTGCGGTACGGAAGTACTGCATGACGTGAGAAGATGGCTGCGTGTCTGAGGAATTCGAGACAGGGAGCGAGAAGCATGGATGCACTGCATGATGTGGGAAGATGGTTGCATGACTGCGGAATTCAAGACAGCGCTGGAATCGAGGGAACGTTGCATGCTGCGTGGTGTGGAATTCAAGCTTGTGAGATGAAGGTAACGTGAATGGATGCATGGATGCATGGGTGTTCGCAGCTGGAACGTTGACGGCATTTTGCTGCAAGACTGTTTTTATCTATCCGCGATGGTTGTTCTGCTCTCTGCTCGCTTTGTTCAGCATGTTCACGTAGCAAGCTCGGAACCTCATTGCCATGCCTGCCTTGTGCGAGTGTGTGAGTCGAAGGGTTCCAAGGGCCGGCCCTTTTTCGGAAGCCGGCGAGAGTGTAGGGTTTTCAAGCATGTAGAGTGGCAGGTTGCCTTCCCATAAGCTTATGATTATTCAACCCGAGTTACGTATCTTCCAGAAGAGCAGTTGATGTCAGGTCGAAGAACAGAGCAAAGGTCTTCCTGGACTCTGAGCCTTTACGGCACTTGGGGGTTCGAACTGCCGCCTGCTTTCCAGGGTGGGGATTTGTAGATTCTACGTTGGGTGCGAGTATGAGGAGACAGAAGTCCACCGGCACTTCGCCTGAAGCTTTTGCGTGTGGTGGTTAGGTAGGTCAAGCCTCAACCGTAAACCGTGGCGTCGAGATTTCGGTAACTTGAGCGGTTCGAGGTGTTTAAAGGCGGCAGTGTTCGCATGTCAAGACTTCGAGTAAAAAGCTTCGTTTACCAACCCGACCCAACAGCCCAAAGCACGTCGAGATCCGGCTCTGAGCCAACGTGCCGAGGTTCAGAAAGCTGTGCTTGCACCAGCCGAATCAACACTGGAAACCATGGTGTCAAGAATTAAGCATGAAGCCCTCGCCATGTCGTCTTCATAACGAAGTTATGGTGTAAGAGTTCGGTGCTTAGACGTGCCGTCAACTTCGTGCCAGGAGGCAGGGACACGAGTGAGATTGGAGCAAAGAAAAGAGCCTTCAATGATCAATTAAGAAAGAGGCCAGCGCACGCGGTGGCACAGTCCTGCCTAAGCACCTCCCAAACCGCCGCCTGTTTCCGGGTGCTGTTGCTTGCAAATCATGCTCCCACCAGGGTCTAAAGTCCTAGTGGGGCCACGCTATTCACCTCCTCGGGGCTCCTTGGTGAGCTCTCGAGATCCTGCCGTTCCACCGGGGTTTTGGGATATTCCGAAGCTGGTGCTTCTGTCACTGGTGTTGGGAGCTCAGGCTCCTGGAATGGTTCTCGGTACCTGCTAGGCATTCCTTCGCTGTCATAGTTCGTTTTAGCCCGAAAGCCCTGCAGACGAAGCCTTAGACCGCGAACGGCTGGGAGCCAAGGACGAACTTGAAGGATTAGCAGAAACTTGGCGAAAAGATGTTTCAGTTTAAGCTCTCCGATAGCTTTCTGGCTAGTTCCAGGAGGCTAGGTTAGTAAACTTGCGCCAAGAATTTTATGCTGGCATGTTCACTGATCCAGCCGCATGTCTCCACAAGCTGTGGCTGCAACTTTCTCCTTAATCAAAGAACATGTTTGGCATCGCAACGAAGGACATCGGTGACATTGTCAAGAGCCAGACTGGCACACTGGTCATTGTTGCAACGAAATCTGTGCTGTCCCGACCCTGGTGTGCCGTGGAAATCACCAGCGGGGTCAACAACAAGATCGACATTGTGATGGTGCCCCGGCAGCTGTCCCAATGAGAAGGAACACCAAGACCAGAAAGCTCCGGAGACGGGAACAATAAGTGCTATGGACCGCAGCACACCCGGAAGTCTGCTGAGGGTCAGGGGGATGCTGGACACTTTTCAACAACTGGCAGCGAGATCGAACGATGCAGCACAGATGTCCAGTTTCCTTAGACATTCCAGGTAGAGTGCAACAACTTCAGCCACTACGACGAGGAAGGCTTTAGGGCCTTGCGTGAAGGCACTGGAAACAATCTTGGAGTGGTGTTCCGTCTGGGCCGTCGGGGCATGCCGCAACCGAGGGTATCTCACTACTGCAGCATAGGGTTAGCTCTTGTGTAGCAGAGTGTCTGTCCTTCTCCGCGGATTCCGGGGCGGATCTGTATGCAACGGAGGACTAGCAGCCACAAAGCCATGCGAGCGATAAGGTCATGCTTGTGTTGGACGTCGAGTCGTCTTTTCATACCTGTGAACATCGATCATCCTGAAGACTGCAGTGGGTGGCTCTGGTTGCTGCATAAGCCTAGTCCCGAAGCGGCTTTCTTCACGAGTTGTTGCGCAATAGACAGCAGTGACTCCAAAACCGCTCCAGGTAGAACTACGTCCTGCACGGTGCCTCCAACTCGAGATAATGACACAGCTTGTCGCAGGCTGGGGCAGTGCCGACATCATGATATTCGCGCAGAATGCAATCGACCCCGGAGTGGTGGAGGACACCACATGCTCGTGCCAGCGGAAAGAAACGTCCGCTGGGCGCAATACCCTGCATCCACATAAAACGCTGTATGTGAAGCACTGTCTCGCGTCGCCACAAAGTTGCATGCCGCCACTGCGAAGACCACCAGCAGAGAAAGAGAGAGAGAGAGAGACAGAGGGGGGTTTAAACCCCTGCACCATAGTCCTGGCGGAAGACAAAGACGGAGAGAGCCTTTAGTCAAACGTCTTGAGCTCGGGAATGTTTTATTCCCTTCTGAAGGAGTGCTATCGGCGACTACAGTCTGTGACCAGGATACCTTTCGATGCCAATGGGACCTTGCGCTGCTTGCCAAGTTGTTAGAGGTTTTGGGTGTGCAGTAGGATGCAGAAAAACTTTTACGTGAGCTTAAGCAAGGAGCTTAGAACTTTGAAATCGGGTCAGAAGTGCTTTGGGTCAGGTTGCTATGCTCATACGACAGGCTTACCAAGTCCCCTCATGCTTGCAGCAGGCAGCGTTCGGGTTTAGAGTCGGGTATAAAAGAGCTGGAGCTTCTGATACCGCAAGCCGATAGTCAAGGCACGATGCCCGTTCAGAGCCTTGTTCGGATGTCGCTATTCCACATCTCGCAGCATGCATGGGCGAGTTCGCCCAGCAACCCTTGGCTCCAAACCATGACAGGCTAGAAGACCTGCAGCGGCATCTATCAGCTATCATACGTCCAGCAAGTCCCCTGAGCATACTTGCTTTTGGGTTCTAAGTACACTTGGAAGTGAGGGGTTACAAGAAGCGGCCTGCACGGTGACGCTTTTATGCTGCTTTCGACCTTGGTCGCGCAAAGAACCTCTGAACACCAGAGAGAAGCGGCCTCTTCCAAAGCGGCAGAAAGAAAGCCTTGGCAAAAAAACAGATCACTCCCTAAATAAGGAGTATACCTTAAATTATCGGGGCATTAATATTATAGGTTTAAGGTATATTCCTTAATTAAGGCGTATTGGGCCCTTTCCATCCCTCCCGGGCCCCCCAAGCTATCGAAGAACCTCAGAGAGGGGTGCGCTCTCCTCCAGGAATGCACCGAGAAGCTGTGGCCACCATCTTGAAGATGCCCGGCTGCCATAAGAGAAGCAGCCGCCGCTTGTGGGTCTGGGTCGCAAAGGTAGGACGGCAATGTAGCGAAACCTGGGGAAAGAAGACAGCCCCAATACCTGAACTCCGAAGTCGTCGACCTGATCATCTCTCGCCCTGAAGCTGCATCCCTGAAACTCTCGGTTTTCACGGTCCTGAGGCCTGCTTTGATGTACTTGATTTGCAGGTTGCGGGTTTCGAGGTCTTTTGGTCCCAGAAGAGGGCTCAGTTCTCTGGAAGTGGCGGCTTTCAGGCACCATCTCCCCAAGGCGGACGAGGCAAAGACAAGTGACAGATAGACTTAGAGACCGAGGTTTTGGCGGTGTATCTTTGAATTTGTTTAGGGCTTTGGCGCTGACTGCTTTTTGCTTCCTTTTAGGCTCTACGTATTTAAAGTTGGGGCCTCTAAACGGGGTGCTCCTTCGACCAGGTGTTGGTGCCTGTCCTCTTTCCGAAATATGCTTATCGAGTTCTTTGATATTGACCGGATGATAATGAACAGGTAGGGGCATAGTGGGCACCTGTGTCGTATCCCAGAAGCTACGCTCCCAATAATCGTAAAGCAAAATAATGAGATTTGGGCTTGCATTTTCCGGTCTTCATCGCACCGGGTCCTGAAAGCGAACTACGAACCTTCTGACTCGAAAGCTTCGTAGACTCAATTGGAGCACAGAGACACTTCAATCGACCAGACTAGGCTTGAGAGCACCTACGACCCTTCAGGCCCCGAACAGTTCGGGTATTGAATTTCCTGGCTGCGCATAGCAGGCATAGAGCCAAAAGGCCACATGTCTCCAGGAGGCCGACAAGCATGCCGATGTCGTCATCCTCGGTGCTGTGAGCAGCTCCGAAGGCAAATTCACTTGCCAGGCGCTGTGGATGGTGCGTTGTGAAGCTGCTGAACGTTTGGACGTTTCGAGGTTCCGGCAAGGTGTGGTAGAATTGGCAACGAACAGCCTGTGCGGGCCAGTTTCTTTGCAAGTTCTTGTGTTGGGATTGGGCCAAACATATCCAAAATCCTCAAACGCAGGCCACCCTATGCACTGTATCCTTAGGTGGTGTCCACCTACACGAGGGTTTAAGCACTGAAGCCCAGACGCTTTTACATGCTGCTGGAAGAGTGCCATATCTTCAAAAAAACTGAATAGTTTCATTCGATGCATCCCAAAGTGTTTTGGAGGTTTTGGCTGACAGTGTCATCCATCGCACTGCAAGAAATGCAGCGTTGGTGTGCAGTCCAGAAGACGCAGTTCAAGCCAGTGCGAACCTCGACCAAACCATGAGGGTTGCCGGTGCTGGGTATGAAGCTGCTGGAGCAGACAGGCTGTCTGACTCGACATATTTGCCGCTCATAGTGAAGTCAGTAAATGCAGCATGCGTTGAAGGTCTTCCGCATGGGCAATGCACGTTTTGTATATGCTGGCAGAAGCGCCCGGAAATCCTATGCTGACTCTTTACCATTGTACGGAGATGAGCTGCCCTGCTCTCATGCTTTGGGCTGGTCCAATGCAACTGGCAACCGTAAGATTCAACGGCTGATCTGCTTTAAGAGTCTCCCCAAAGGCCGCAGCATGTGTTTGGTCAAAGGTTTTGGAGGCTCAAGACGTGCAGCCGAGGACAGCCCAGTACATGTTGGTGGTGTTGAGCGGCGGAATTCTGCAGGATGACACATTCTTGGCCATGCTCGAGGCTGGCAAGTCAGGAATCTAGATCGCTTCCAGATTCCTCCGACAAGATCACATCGGTTGTAAACTACAGGGTATTCGGGCCTGAGGAGTTCTACCCTAACTCTGGTCCCAGATCCTTACAAGTCAAGCTCTTGACCCTTCAAGCCTGTTCCCTCTCTGAACCTCGGGCCAAGGGTTCCTCGAAGGAATCAGAAACACAGTAACAACCCAGAGTGCATGCATGCATGCATGCGCCTATCTATGTCGCGGGCCGCCCACCCCCAAACCCAAACCGTCCCGCAAGATCAATAACTAATTCGGCCATGAACCCGAATCCGCTGAGCGAACAGGCTGTGGACACGGCTTTCACCAACCAGCTGGAGATTGTAAGCGCTATCGCGGACCAGAGCTTTGAGTTCCCTTCCGCGAATTATTTCCAGGCGGCCCACAACAAGCCAAAGAAAATACCGGTCGAAGAAGCGCAGGAGTAGGAGGAGGAGTAGTAGTAGCAGTGCTAGTAGTAGTGGTGTCGTGGCCGGCGCCCAGTATCCCCGCATGTATTTACACTTGTAAACATGATGGTGACGATGATTGGGGCTTCGCGGTTTGATCGCAGCTGACCGGGTCCGAGTGTGGAGGATGGGAGTTTCGAACTGTGCCAGCAGCTGGCGAACTCGAGTTCGAGTCCGAGAGAGAGCGAGAGGGGTGTTTGTCCGGGTTCTTGCTCGGCGATTGGACTGTCTGGTCGAAGGGGAAACTGCCGCCTGCATCCCAACAGAATAGCAAAGCAGTGGCAAGCGCAGCGACAACAAGAGATGGAGGTGGAGATGGCGATGACGGTTATGAAGAACAAGCAGAGTAGTTCGGGTTTGGAGTTGAGGATGTTTAGAAGGGGGTTTCTTTCGGTTTGGGTATGAGGCTTGAGGTGTTGTTTCCAGCATTGCGCCGCAAAACTTCGAGAGCTGTGCAGCTCGCTCAACCCTAAAGGTTGGCTTCGGGGCCCAGAGGGCTTGGCTGCTTCAGGGTTTCCTGATTTCACCTCTAAGAGCCTGCAGAATGGAATGGTGGTACAGGATTCCTTCAGAAGGGACATTGCTCAGGTAGTCTAGTGCCTCACTTCTTAATGTGAGAAAATCTTGAGTTGCCAGAAAGCTTTTCCAGGCACTCGTGGACAAGGGCTCGAAGAACCTCGAGCAGTCAGCCTCCTGCCCAGTTGAAGCCTTTCATCCCTCGTTCCTAGTAATTTCGGTTTGTAAAGGCATGGAGTACAGGCCGATGCCGGCTGGAGCTCTCAAACTGAACTTGACCTTGAGCCAAGTTTCACACTTGAGCATATGGAAGTCTGGCTCTGACTTGGCCCTTGAGAGGTGGGCTGCCGCGTGGCCCAAACTCCTACTCATCCCACCAGCTTCCCAAACGCAAGGGCTTTAAACGTCGAAGTCCAAAGCCTGAACCCTGAGCCCCGGTCGCATGCACCCTTCCGGTAATCGGAACCAGTTCTCAAAGACGGGCACGTCAATGACTTCAAGGAAGGGCTTCGTCATGGTTTTAGAGGCTCAGTTCTGGCTCAAGGCTGCGATAGGTCCGGGGTCCTCCCCACTAGTAGTTGAATAACTCCGACACGTAGCCGTTTTTAAGTTCGCATAGCAGAAGAGCTCCCAGAACGCTAGTTTCATCATTCTGCCCTGATACATAGTAGTGCCGCGGGCTTCGGCAGCGAACCGCTCTCAGACCTTGGCCCCTTACATCCCCTCCAACCCGAGACCTGAGGTCCGACGAGTGGTAAACATCCTGGCCCTGCCATTTAGCCCACAAGTCTCGAGCAAGGCGACTTGTTAGACGAAATGTCGTTTGGGAGATTGCTTTAAGGGCCTGGGGCAGGGTGGGATCTAGGCCTTAGTGAGCTTCTTTGCGCAGGTTTCAAGGTTGCTTCTTGGGTGCTGCAGTTGGCTAACACCCATCATTCACGTAATGTGCTCAGGAAATCCAAGCTCGACTCGACATCTAAAGTGCTGACCACCAACCTGGGCCGCCATTCTGGTGTTTAGGTTCGAGCCTCCTCAAATTGGAAATTTCTCCCGATCAATAAACCTTCGCTTCTAGTAATTCGCGTTAGACTTAGACTTGCTGCTACTACGACAACGGTGGGTGACGACAACGAACACCACCACCGGCACCACCAACACCAAAACGACTACGACGACGACCACCAAGGTTCGCAATATCGCTTGTGTACCAGTGAAGCCACTTGCCCTGCAGCATGCTTGCAAACAACCGCCAGGTGCTCAGTGCACAGGCTGATGAGCTTTGCCGACGGTTCCGCTTCAAGGACATGTTTTCCGCGCGTCAAAGTTGAGAGTGTCAGGGTTTGAAGCTGACAACCCGAGGCACCAAAGGCCGCAAACCCGTGAACTCAAGGCCGTAAACCTGTCAAGATACACTGCCAGCTTTGACGGGCATCGGTTTAGTGCAAGGATGTGTGATCCTATGTGCTGATTGCGCAGGGGTGGGCGATAAACGTGCATACACGCATATGGCACATGAACCTGCTGCTCGTAGAGGTTCCGGTAGACGTTTGTCAGGGTATTAAGTGTGTGCTCCTTTTTGATGGGGTGGTTTTCGGTTGCAAACACTCCAGCATACAATTCCTGCCAACACTTCCAGGCACCTGCCACATAGTTTGTTGCTTAGATATCCTACAGCAATTTGCATTGCTCATCAGAAGAGCTTGAAAAGTTTTGGCCTCGGGAAAGCCTGATTTTGAAAGCTTGATCTGGCTGGCGAGGGATCTTAATTTCGCAGGTGGTTTAGGGTTTAGGGTTTAGGATCCACTCGTCCGCCAGCTAACACTGTACTCGCAAAAAGGGTTCAGGATCCCCGGCCTCAATATCGTGGCAATAGGGGCCTTACCCTCATCGCCACCTATTTACGGGCTGGATCGCCACTCATTATGTGAGGGTGGGGGGGTGCTGGAAAAATAGGTGGAGCTGAAGGGTTCAGTGTGTCATCTCCATTCAATGGACTCTGTTTTCTTGTGACCCTGCACAGGCATTTTGCCTCGGAGCGGTCATGCGTGTGGGTAGATTATTGTAGATTCGAGGGCATGCCAGGATCTTCCAGCCAAAGTATGACAGCACAGATTCGCGCACAACAACTCACACATTCGATCGTCATGCCGTGGTCTGTTACTCACCGCAACTACGGCAAGCAGATGCATGTAGAGTACTAGCCGTTACTAGCCTTCTGGGGCGGCGGTGGTGCGGGAGCTTAAGAGTATCAAAGACCCCTCTCACTCCCCACCTATTGATCACCTCTACGTAACCTATATATGTATGTATGTATGTATGTATGTATGTATGTATGTATGTATGTATGTATGAATATAATATACATATATATATATACCATAAGTCGTAAAACAGGACTACGCAAACAAATTACGTGTCCTATCCTTAGTATAGAATACCCTAGTATAACACCATCAATATCAGCTTTCCGTAGGGGGTCACTCTACCCTTCCTGATCAAGTGCCCTACTAAAAGCATCACAGACCTCTCTCACTCGCCACTATTTATCACCTCTACGTAGCCTATAATACATACTAGTATAGTCTGTGGTGTAGAAGCAAACCAGTCAAGACGGAGTTGACAACCTTATCAAAACGAGAAAGAAGCTAAAGGGGTTCGAACGAATATTTCAAGCTTGTCAAAGAAGAAATATTTGAGCACACCAGTCGCACGCCCCGAGAAGTTTGTGAAACAGGAACCAACCGGCCGACAGACGAAAGAACCCGACGAAGAGGAAACTTTGAGAAGAACCGGATCAATGCACTCGAAAATATGTTGCACAGGAGGAAGCCGTTCGAAAGAGTGGTGATTACGAGAAAGAGGTGCACACCAGTCGACAGTGTTTTTAGTAGTAGTTTCGGAAAAGCGTCGAACCGCCCGAGCGAGACCAGAGAATTTGACAAAGGAAGAATAGTTTGAGAATGAGGATGTCGAAATGGATTGGAAAATCCAAAAGAAAGGAGCAAACCGCTCGAAGGAGTCCTAGAGAACCGGGGGAAAGCTTGCCGAAAAGGATTATATTATTGTCAGAGGCGAACAGTTTGAACAAGGATAGAAACTCAGAAAGAGAAGTACAAGGGGAGTTAGCCTTTGAGAAACCGTTCCAAGTAAAGAAGATAATATGAGGAGAAGCAGCAAGGCAGACCAAAGAGAGCATATACTTCGAGGAGCAGGAAGGAAGCAAGCCGCTCGAAATAAATTTAGGATCCCAGCAAAGTAAAGGGAGAATGTGAAAATATGTTTTGATCGAAACCGGATAGACAAGTTGACAAACGTGCAGCAAACCCATCTAACGGGACTTGAAATTATGAAGACACACGCAAGCTGCTCGAAACAGACTGGTTTGAGAAAGACGAGCCAACCACTTAAAATGGACGAGAAGATTTGTTGTAGAGGGTCAAGGCGCCCGAAAGAGGCTAGAGATTTGTGTCTCCCCTCGTCCCCTTACTCGTTCACTGTAGGGTTTCTTCTGGAAAAATCTTCTTGTTACTATGCATGAGGTGTTTTGCGCTGTGCCTGGGTGGCCAATGACAGTGGATTCGATGTTTGTCTCCCACTCTTCAAGTGGACTCTTGAAGTTGCGACCAGATCTTGTCTGGTTTTGCGTAAGTGTTTGGGGTCTTCGGTGTCGTATTCAGTGAAAGACAAGGCTTCTGCGAAATTTCGGTGGATTGATGTATAATGCAGACAGACATTGTGCGAACGTAGGTGTCGACGCATCTTTTTGTTGAGTCTGTCGCCTTGTTCGCTGGCCGTGCAACGCAGTGTCAATTGCAGGAAGCTGCCTAAACGTGACCCATCCTGCCTGAGAGGACGAAACAGTCAGAAGAACCAGCCTACTGCAACATCCTGTGGTCCCGCATGTGCGTCGAGACGCGCACGCGGACGCGCAGAAAGAGGAGGCTGGGCTCTACGCAGCTCAATCTCCATATCCTAAGCCTCAAGCCCTGAACCCCTAGCATCGAAGCCTTGATGCTTTGTGAAACCTGGGCGGAAGCCTTGAGCCCCAGGGGCTGTGGGGTCGACGTGGAAGCAAAGTTTGTGGCTTCAGGGCTTGGGGTTCAAGAGCCGCGACAGGGGATACCAATGAAGCTTATGCATCCACCAGGCTCCAGAGGCTCCAGCGACCACACTGATGCTCGGTTGCACTTCGCATGCTTCAGGTTTCTACACCTCGCCCAAGTCTTCCTGCCCGAATGGATGAGATTGCAATGCTTACGAACTTTCCATTTCTTGGATTATCCCAGGTTTGGGTTTTGCAATGGGTTGGAATGGTCTGGTTCTGAAACTTACACTTGGGGCAGGTGCGGGCAAGCTACTCTGGTTCATTGTGTTTCATATGTACTACAGGTTTCACGAACGCAGCATGCCGCCACTGTGGAGGGGAATTGCCACAGCCCCACTGTTTAGTCAAGCACCGACTGCGACTACAGAACTCATCCAAGGAAGGACTCATATGGCGTTGTCGTCTCAGACCAGGTGTTGACAATGGACATGTGAGTTTGAAAGAGCAAGAATGCCTTCGTTGCATAGTTTGCGCACAAACCAAGAAAACTTTGGTCGGAACATAGTACACCTATGATTGGGGCTCCCAAGAGCAAGAAAATTCGAACGGTCTTGTGTGCCGCCGTAGATGAGAGCGGGCTTCTCCTGATGGACAGGCCTGATCACTTTTAAAGTTTACTGCCAAGCCTGTGTGAGGCTGTCGGTATTGCAGCTTTCTGCTTTGTTGTGACGTACATGTACCGGCTCGTGCACTTAAGTTAGATCTCCAGAAGAAGACTGTAAGTATGGCAACATAAAACAGAACACTCGGAACCCTACCGATACACAGCGTGCTGAGGGCACGAGTCGCAGCCCAACGCCCGTGGTATTGGGGAGAAGTGTTAGGACATCTTCAAAAGATGGCCTCGTCCGCAGCGCAGAGGGCGCAGACACACTGTCACTGTTGACAGGCTGGTCAATCGTCAACTCCGCATTCGGGCAAAAAGCATGGTCCTCTGTTTTGTTGACATAAACGTCGAAACGCAGGTGGCAGTGCCAGCGACCCGCCCATGCGAAAGGAAATGTCCTGACAGAGCAACATACAAGCTATCTGACATGGAATGCTACATGCTTGTCATCCAACTTGTCATCCAATCCCTGCTTCCTTGCAGAGTGTCTTCGACTCCGATATCGATGTGATCGTCGAAGCTTCATGGGTTGAATTTCGGCACAACCACATGGAATAACGATCAATCCTGATTTGTCATCATCTTGATCAGTTTGATTTCCTTGAAACCAAATGCAGTGTGAATATGATATTTGATATGATAGAGACTTGATATTCAAGATTCCCTATAAAATATTTAGATTGAATGTTCTTTCTCTGTTCTGTTATCTAGATATTTTCGATTTTCAGAATTATTCTGGCAAAATTAAGTATCCGACATGTTTGGGACAGGCTCGCGGTAATCAAATTTCCGAAAGTTTAGTACCGCGAGCTCCAGTGCCGGGCTTTCTGAATGCAGGTGTCTCTCTGGGCGTCTGTCGTCTGTCTGTGTCTGTCTCTCTCTGTCTCTCTCTCTGTCTCTCTCTCTGTCTCTCTCTCTGTCTCTCTCTGTCTCTCTGTGTCTCTCTCTCTCTCTCTCTGTCTCTCTCTGTCTCTCTCTGGCTCTCTCAGTCTCTCTCTTTCTCTCTCACTCTCCCTCTCTCTCTCTCTCTCTCTGTCTGTCTCTGTCTCTGCACTGTCCGTCTCTGTCTGTCTGTCTGTCTGTCTCTGTTTGTCTCTGTTTGTGTCTGTCTGTCTCTGTCTGTGTCTGTCTGTGTCTGTCTGTCTCTGTCTGTGTCTGTCTGTCTCCGTCTAGTCTGTGTCAGTCTGTCTGTGTGTGTTTGTCTGCGTGTGTGCGTGTCTGTCTGCGTCAGCGTGTGTCCGCGGTCTATGTCTGTGGGTCTCTGCATGAATGGGTCTAGGTGAGTGCATTTATATTCGTTAGTCTCTATATCTACTTATTTGTCTATGTATTGATATCTCTATCTGTTTAGACATCTGTATATTGATCTAACGATCTATTCTGTCATCGATCCCCATCTATATATCTAATTCGTCTAGTCGTCTTGCCCGATTATCTTTTTCCTGGCGGTTTCGGTTTATCGATTTACTTTATCGATTTATTTTCTCGACGTGTCGGCTTAGGAATTTATATTTATTTAGTTCTATATTTATTTACTTTCTTATTATCGACTAGCTACTCTGGGGTGTGAAAGGCGATGCGTTGCTTAGTTTCGCAGCGTCTATTTGGGGACTAATTTTGGCTAAGGCGGTGCGGTCAGCGTCTAGTTGGGGATTCGTGGTCGGCATGTTGTCGTGATAATGGTTGCACACGATGTGCTGCCCAAGTTGCATTGGCTAGTAATCCGTGCAGATATGGAATTTGTATTATAGAAGACACAAGCACTAACATTACTAATACCCTTTGGGATGCCACGTGTCCGCTGGGTCCGTCGTCAAGGCTGAAGTAGATGTGCTCGGCTCGAAACCCCGTGATGAAGCGGACGCATGAAAAGGGCAGCCCAATATCACAAGTGTGCCATGTCACTGTTAAAGGTTACCTACACGTTGACCGAGGTATTGGACAAGCAGGTCAGAGAAGGGAATGGACTGACGCGAGACCCTAAACCCCAGTAAGCACAAGACAGGTTGAACGGTTGAGGACGGTAGGCTTTGCCGCTGATGGGGAGAATAAGCCGCCTGAGATCGTGACCAAGCGAGTACACATCCTGAAGCGTGGGGCGATTTGACTAAAATAGGAGCCTTACAATTAGACTAGGGTTTTCGCCGTGCCGCTCATGCTCCTGCTGCGACTCGCTTGCACTTGTCCTAAGGGATGGTTGACGTCAACCTTGCGGTTGAGGTTGCAGTCTTTGCAGGGATTGCGGTCCTGCAACCCCATTATCGAACTGAGATCTGGGTTGGCAATGTAACAGGTGGTGTGTCAATCCCGTCCGACACTTTTGGTCAGAGCCCAGATCTGTTGGAGTTCAGGGGCTGTCGCTGTGAAAGGATTTCGACTGCACAAGATGCTTGAGTCGGGTCGGGGATGTGGCCACTCTGCGCTAGTGTTTGCAGAGCACCCTTTGAACATCGATACCTCTTTGAACCCAGTCTGTTTTCACAGCCGCTTGCAACTGCTTGCATATTTACTTTAGGAAGCGAAGTTAGAGGTTGCGAGTTTGCTAGTTTATTAGGGAGGGCGGAGGGCAGGTGAATTCTGCGCAGGTATCAGTTGCAGACGAAGTCTGCACAAGTCCAGCGTGCTTGGAATTTGGTGCATCCCCACGTCCTTGAAGCCAGCAGTCCTTTCTTTCCGAGCCGTTAATCCGCACCGTGTTGGGTTTGTGGGGAAGTCTTGTGGAAGAAAGAAGCAGGTGGGCGCAAGGGAGGATTCAGGATCGCTAAATATCCTGGTGCGGAAGTACGGGACAGATACAAAGCAAACCATGAATGTAGATATCCAGGACGGTTCTTGATGGTTTCGTCCAAGACCATCCAATAACCAAAAAGCTTACAAAATGGATCGCATGGGGTACCAAGCATCCGATTTTGCGAAGGTCAACCTTTTGATGTTGGTCTCCAAGCGATTAAACGTCTCGCTTGGCACGGCCGTCCTTCACCCGTTCGTGTTTTGCACGTGCTGCTCGTGGAACTGAATCGGGTTTCGACAAACGGTCAAGCTGTGAGCCGACCTGACTGGCGAGTGCATCAAAAAGCTATGATTAAATTGCACTGGGACATCCAACAAATGATTAGGCAGGTTCGTTGCTTCGATCAACCAGGGATGCTTCAGTTTCTCGTGCTAGCCCATGTGTTCAAAAAACGTTGTGAAACACCTTCAGATTCCATGCGCGGGACCCACGTCTCTGCTACTTAAGAGCGAAGCTCGTTGACGAAGGGTTTAGCTGCTGAGGTCCCGTGGCCAGGAGGTGGCCTTGCGGCGCAAGCCGCAACGGTTCTGTGCTCAGACTTACAAAGCGCGAACATCGGTTCTGACTGGGGAGGTGCACCATGTCTTGTGATACAAGAGGTATCGCCAGCACTCGCCCTCGTCAATCCGTGTCAGCCTTACCACAACACAGGTTGCTCGTGTCAAAAAGTGTTCTCAGTGATCAAGCAACCACCTTCACAGGACCCCGATCTCGCAGTTGCCCGCCCCGCACGGAACTCAGCGTTGGGTCCGTGGCACACCATGGACAGGACGGTATCACGTTTGAAAGTTAGGCGACTTTTCGGTTGAATTAGAGTCTACGCTACCTTATGATTCTCTAAGCGACTTTAGAGCTGCTCGTGCTCGAAGCTGAGGCCTTCAGACTGAAATGTGCTCGGAGGCTGGGCACATAGCAGACCTATCAGAGGATTCCCTTTACGTGGAGAACAGACTCGGCTTGAAACCTTCATTGTCTACTTATTTCTAAACTCACCCGTGTTGTGGTTAGAGACACAGAAGCACGGCAAAAGGAACTAAGAAGCACAAAAACTGGATCAGACACGGCAAGAGCGGTAATACCTGTCGTTTTGTTGAGACCAGGACTCCCGTGCTGCCCTGCTCGTTTCTTACTTTTCTCCTTGGAGCCTGAAGAACGTCGGCAAAATTAGAAAAGCTCCGACTGTGCATGTCCACCGTGGCTGCAGCTTATTTCAGATGTCTTTAAAGCTCTAGCTGCTGAAGATTGCGCTTCACAGCGTAGTACCGTTTTCAAGGTCGCTATCAGGCTATCAGCTGTTCTTTTTGTCTAGACATGTTTGAGTTGTCTGTCATGTAGATTTTACCTTGCCTCCACAACTACTTTTGATGTCCTTAGCATAAGCTTAACGCGACGCGACCTGGGCTCAAGTCCCCACACGGTAAAAGTCCGCCAGGGTTGACTTAGCGGTATCTAGTCGTGTCTTGCTGTAGACCTGGGAAACTTCAGGTTATCAGCCGTAGGTTGCTCCTACCATGGATATCGTGCCTTTCGTTGCGGCAACGGGTGATAGTGACGGTCCAAGGAACGAGGCGGCGGCTAATCAATACTTCCTGCAACTTCTCCAAGAGAATAACCAGGTCAATGTTTTCGTGAACGACCCCAGGATCCAACAGGCTCTGGAGCTGAGAGCTGAAAGGCGTCACCAGTTCGTTCTGGACAACATCTACTCAGAGGCTAACAGCTACATTGCCCACCTGGAGGCCACCGCCGATGCAAACCACCGCCAGCAACTCGCTTTCGTGAGAGAGTCCACCATGGTATTGGTAGGCCAACTACACAATGAAACCCGAATTCTAGAGCGAATCGCCCAGTCAGAGCAGCGATCAGCACAAGAGTTCCAGGCACAGCTGACACGCACCCAACAGGAGTGTCATGACGAGATGTCAGTGGCGAAGCAGCTTGATGCACATCGTTCCGAGCTGGAAGCAGCAGCGCGCACGCTCACGGCAGAACACAGACAGCACGAACACAACTTCGCTGAGCTGCGCACATCCTTCGATGAAAACCGAGTCCAACTCATAGAGTTCTTGGGTTTTGAGTTTGAGGAAAAGCTTCAGTGGGAGGAAAATGAATGTCAGTTTCGACTTGCCTCTGAGGAACAGCAGTATGATAGCTTGATTGACGATTTGCAGGATCGCAACGCGGAGCTTATAGCTGAGGTCAACTCTCTAAGGACTGTCTTGACGACAGCAAACGATAACTTCGAAGATCCCGTGTATCTTTTATCCCAAGGGTACGTGCAAGAACTGAAAGAACTGCCCTTTCATGCACAAGGACGCCAGCCCATCTGTCCCGGCCAAGGGAGACAAAGGTGACAAAGGTGGCAAGAGATCTCCGTCTGGCAAGCGCAGGCGCCCCAGTAAGAAGAGGACTAAAAGCGAGGAGAAGACGGCTGCATGCTGCCTCTCTCAATCAGCCACCCTCACGGGTGAGCCCTCTTGCTCAACTGGGATCTCCTTCGCTTTAGCTGCCCGCAAGGGCCCAGCCACCAAGTCACGCACCAAAAGTGTTCGATTCCTGAGGCCAGAGATCGTAGACACTCCGCTTGAAGGTGAAGGTTGGAGGTTCGTCACGGAAAAGAAGAAGTATGACTGGAAGGTCAAGTCGGCGGACCAGTGCCCACCATCTGATTCGGAGGACACCGAGAGAGCCTTGCGTAATGCCCGTCACTTGGAGTCAGCAGTGAACGGTATGAGGCTAAAGGTCCGGGTCAAGTGTAACTACAGGTGTCGGGGTAGAGAAGGATTCTGCGCGAATTGCACAGAAGCTGTTCCCTTGCCCCCTTATGCTGCAGCAGCGGTGAGTGGTGAAAACCTCGAAATCATCGCTGACACCGGTAGTGAGGAAGATCTGATTAGTCACTCTGACTTGGAGGCCCACTTCAAGGGCAAGACTAAGAAGATTGCTTCGAATCCAGTGAATTCGATCACCGCGAATGGACCCGTAGATGCTGATAACAAGCACGAGGTCTACATCGAGTCTTTGAGGAATCCCTTGCAATTCGTCGAGCTCCCCAACACTCCTGCCGTTTGTTCTGTAGGAAAGAAATGCATGGAACAGGGATTCTCTTTTCATTGGCCATCGGGCGAGGCGCCATATTTCATTTGCCCTGACGGTCAGAAGGTACCATGCCACAGGCTGTTCCGGTGTTTGGCGACCGAGGACCATTGATGGCATGCACGGCCGCGTCATCAGATTCGGAATGCAGCAAGGTTGCACCAACTTCTGTCGAGTCTGAATCGGGTTTTCAGTGAATAGCTGCCCGCAAGGGCATGCCGCACCAGCCAGGGGAGAACATGAAGAACCACCTGAAGGTCCAGCTGGCGCGGCGGAAGATCCCATCGAAAAGATGGCAAATTGTATTCCCCCCATTCCCGGGGTGAAACACGGCAACTGCTAAAGGCAGGTTGGGCGGT